AATGGCATGATATATAGTGTATTGTTTTTTTTATTCAATCTAATTAAAATAACTAATAAATTATAACTATTTTAAATCGATAACAGGAAACATAATTATTATAATAGAGTRCAATTGATACCTACTAAATAAGTATGAAAGTTAAGTTTAAAATGCAATCAAATCATTAATTGAATTTATTAGTTAGTTCTTCATTAATCAACCAACTTATTGGGTTTAGTTTTTTTTCTTGTACAAATTTACGTCGTCGCGTTTTAAAGCTAATTAAATTGCAGATAGTATATATTTTTAATCAATAGTTGTAAAAATAATRGAATATTATTTTATACGCTATGTGAATACGTTAAATTCGTAACTTTTACTTTTACTCCTTAATTAAATTTACTATTACGATATGCACGTATATATTTGAAACATATAATAAAATCTAAAAATGACTGCATCCAACATAATAATAATATATATAGTATATACACCTATAAATATACTTTCTCTGTCTTCTTCATTACGATGATGTTATTCACCAATGAAGCTCACCCCATCTTTTTTTTTTTAATAATGTATTTATTCAAATTCTGATTTTATGTGTTTTTAAGTATACCTACTTCAAGATATAGCATGTATTTTTTGAGCAATTGAATATTATTCAAAGTACAAACAATTTTATGAATCAAAAACATCTCGTAGGTATTTCGATTTATACACTTGAAAATTTTCAAAAAAAAGAAGGGAAAGGAGATGCTTTGCTGAATAGTAGGATTTGAGTGTACTTTGTCATTGAGTAGATCACTGTTATGATTCTTTTAAATTAGAAGTCAATGATACCTTTGTGTAGGAATGTGATTCTTAGCGAAGATGGTTTGTCAGCCTAATATCGCATGAATACATTTCTCGCTATTAATTATTTTAATGTTTTTTTTTTACTATTCGTAGTAAAATGCTTTATACTTTTTAATTATGCAATAACATACAAAGTATTCTAAATGTTTTTAAAATGATATTATTGTGTATATAAAATATAAAAATTATCGTGACTGGTTCAAACATGTTTTAATTATAACCAAGTTATTAAGAGGACGTTATACCCGCATGTGTTGTCTCAGTCTTACAAGTGCGTAACATACCAAATTTTACGCTCAGCAGATCACGTTTAGCTCCATGAGTTTAAAATTTAGAGTGAATTGGCCTCTTATAAAAATGAAATGTAACATTACTATCSAGGGCTTCTGATAAGCTATTTATTATATTTTAATTTGAAAGCGAGTTATGAGTATTTTAAAATTGTAAATTGTTTGAATATCTTGAAAAATATTAAAAATAAAATACATAGTCACGTTTTTTTTTTTTTTTATAAGCATTTAAAGTTAAAATTTATTCAATTGAAAATTCTTTAGTTGTTTATAATTTATAAAACGTTTAAATTGTATAGCTAAGGATTAAAAATGTAAAACAAAGTTCCACGTACTCGTAAGTAGTTAATTCTGCTGCAAAAAAAATCTAAAAACTATACAAACACAGTTTCTTTTTATAGTTATTTTAAGTTCAAATTTGGATTAAAATTACATATTAAATAACCAAGAATAACAATTAGTCATATTGTTGTAATTTAAAAATATCATTCATGGGTACTCAAATAATTTCTAGAGTAGGTATAGGTATATACTTAATATTCTAATATTATAGTTAATGATACCTTCTTATGAATCACTGAGTGARTCGGGTATATAATGAATCTGATTTGATTAATTTGGAATTTCTTTTATAGGTAGGTACCTTTCTTTTTTTTTTTTTTTTGAAATAAAAACAATAAAATTAATATACATAATATAACATATTATCCTAGACTGACAAACCATCTCCACTCAGAATCGTTTTCCATATAAAATTATATTATATCATTGAATTCAAATTTAATATCATCCATTACAGTAAAGCACTTGTAACCTATTATACAGCAGAGATCCAGTTACCCGCTTATATATAAATATATATATATTAGTCATTCTAAATAAATTAGAAAAGTAACGATAAAATAATACGCTCGAAATTGGATCCTTCTATCATTAAACGCTTTTATTGAATAGTTCGTTTCAAAGGTTGAGAAGAGTTTTGTGGTCACTCTAACATTATGACTTTGAAAATTGTATCACATGTTATARTAAAATATTAGTTATTTTTTGTATAACCTTGAATTCGTAATTTGCAACTTTTTAATCCCCTCCAACTCTAAAAACTTACAAACTCCTTAATTATTTGCATCACATTTTTCAAGYTAGAATGTCAAAGTTAACAAGTTTAAAGTCCAGATTTCCGCTAAACTACATGTATTTAGTATACCTATTATATAAAAGTAGGTACCTTTGTACATATTATATATTACTACGACAATATACTGTAACTGTAGAAGTGTAGACAGCCATAGCCTATATGTGTAATTTAGTAATTTCTAATATTAATGTAGGTACTACCAATATAATATCATGTACATCATAACTATTTAAGTAGGAGAGTTGTAACTAGACATTAACAAATAACAATTTTAAAATTTAAAATTTAAATACAAGTGTATAAGAAATTGGTTGAAGTACAATAATTGTATTTATCATCATCACGATAATCGTGCATGTGCAAAAATTATAGTAGTGAGTCGCGATGGACTTTACAATATTCAACAGTCCTGCGATCAGTGAACACGAATTATCTAAAATTATCTAGATTAGTAAGTTTATTTTAATTCAAATTGTCCTGCGCAATTCTCCTACTATAACCATAGTTTTATTAAGACCGTTGTCCGTTACTATAGCTATTAAGAATGTCTAGTATGAGCTGCCACACAAACATTTATTGAAATAATGCAAATTACAATCAAAACCTTCAATTAATGAAAATTAAAAATAATTATATTTTAACGTATTATAATATTATCCGATAATCGATGTAGGTAAAAATTATATCAATATAGATATAAAAAAAATAGTATTCGAGATTAACGTATTATTGTAGCTACGCACACGTACAATTTGTACATTATGTATTGTAGCGTCGATGTATTCATTTATTTTATTTAAAATTACATTATTACAGTATGAGAAAGCGCATTGTGATATGTATGTAAAATAGGTACTGCAAGATAATAGTATAATACATTATAATATACAAAATACTATTATAGTAGTTAGGTACGTCTTATTGTATGATATTTCGATAATGGTAAATGTATTTTCGGAAGTATAATATAGYGAGCAACTTTTTATTTGGAAGCACTATGGAATACATTTTGTTTAAAATATCATTTTTTCCAATAAAATGTTTGAAAAATAAACTTGARTATGCACGGAATGCAATTTAAGTAAAAATGATAACCATAAGAGACAATTCGAGAGACTGCAAACTCAAAAATATCATTGGATTCTAGTGTAACCTGTACGAGTCGCGTTGACTACGACGACGACGACACCGTTCGACGAATCGTATTATGATGCGAAACTACGGCGAAGGAGTCTCAAAAATGTGCAGAGCGGTCGAAAATCACAAGCGGCCGATGGGACGTTTTGCAGTGGATGGGGAGGAGAAAAATAAATAAATAAGACTCGCACGCCGAAACGAAAACATCGCATCGCCACAGCCGCCGTTGCACAAGCGCCGTGGACGCGTCTCTCGCGAGCCTCCGCCGCGCCGCCTCCGACGTTACCCTCTCATCATAACCGATCCTGCCACCCCTCCACCCCGCGTTGTCGTCGTTGCAGCCGTCTTCGCCCTTCGGCAGCGGCCTCACCACCGCCGCCGAATACAAAAGAATAGAACGCCGGCCACGCACGCACGCACCGGTGCGCGCCCGTACCACATGTGAACTCGACGGCGGCGACGACGAATCACTGTGGTCGGCAAGAACGAACGACGCGGYGCAGTGCATTTCGTACCACCACCGAACGACGGTCGACGGCGGCACGCACTCACAAAAACCAGTACACACGACGGACCACGCTCCACGCGCGTCACTCCGTCGTTCTCGCTCGCTCTTGCTCACCGCGCTCTCCATCGTCCTTCTCTCTCGCCGCGCGCCGTCGCGACGTACGACTGCTGCTGCAGCTGCTATATACAAAAGACAGAGAGCGCGCGTGCGCACCGCTACACACGGGCACACAGACGAACGTTTCGCGGCCCGTCGGTCGTCGCACAAACCCCTTCAGCGTTCAGTGTCTCACGTGCTCCGCATACGTTCGGTGGTCGTTCGCTCTTGTTCGCACATTATACTACATTTTAGTACACCGCCTGCACAACCACCAAACATAATAACACAACGTTATTGTTATACCCACCATAATAATATTGTGTTTATACCGCGGTATATTATTGTTTTATAATACATGTACTCGCGTTCGTTTTCGGCTATAAATCCGATAGGCCACAAATTAAAGAAATTTTGCTGAAATTAAAAAAAAAAATCTACTTATAGCAGATTTCAAGTGTTGAGGGATAATATTATTATTATACTAATATATTACGATATCGTTACCGCCGTCTTCATCTCAGATATTTCACCCCCGATCAGCCGACTCGCGTTCATGACCAAGGTCGTCTGCGTTTGCTGCTGAAACCGTTTTCGCGGTCTTAAGATTTTTTAGGGTGAGTAWAATAAGCTCTATTCTATAATATATACATAATAAGTTTGTATAATTAAAAACATTGTCGTTGTTGAAACGTATGAAAATATTATTTGTTTACTCCAACGAATTGATCACGTACCATTGCACATTGCACAGGTAGTAGGTACTAAACTTCGATAACTGCATCGTGAGTTTTCGTAATGTCGTAAAGGGTTTTATTCAATTTAGTAGATATGTACGCCATCCGGCTGTGTGATGGCCTCCTACCGGCTTGTTGTCACGGCGACCGGATACGCGCGCGAATTGCTATTGCAGTGGTAGTCTAGTATTTGGGAGTTGCGAATTTTGATAGGTATATTCGCCTGTACACAATTCTAGAGGATTTGTGCACTTCTCCCCACCTTTAATCGACGAGAAACTGTCCGTTGTGTTCAATAACTTGATGAAAATCCAAAAAATAAAACGAAACAAAGGCAAYAGCATTCTGAGTACTACATCCATATGACGTCGGACAACAATAAAACGCCGAAAATATTATATTCATGCGGTCTTTGTCGAAGCACAGTCCACGGGGTTCTTTTTTTCTCACCGACCCTCACCCTCTCGTTGTCGACCCTCGTGGTAGGTAAAACTGCACCCTAAAGTGGCGGCAATACAATACGTATTCCAACATGTTTTATATATTTTGTTTACATGGTGTGCGAATTAATCAGCCAAAATACTAAATATCTATAATAATATTATACGTCGTGTTTCGAAAGCAATCGGTTATAAAATCACGTAAAATCGCTACCAACATACACAGACTATAAATTTCCATCGAAATTCAACAATGTTATTGTATCTTATACGAAGAAACAGTTTAATCTCTTATTTTTATATTTGTATACATCACAGTAACTAGTTATATGTAATATATAATAACTATAATTTTCGATAATTTATAATACAGCTGATTATAATAACTAATTATATTATTATTGTTTATTTAAGACTAAAAAATGTATAGGTACCTACTACCTACAGGTAAACTCTTGAGTTTTGAAGTAATGTTATTAATAATTTACTCCTATTTAATACTGCAGCGTGTACGTGTATTTCACAATAATTATAAATAATATTTTGTAATATTTTAAAACTAGAGCCCATGTGTATAGCCCAGTCTGTATAAAATATTTGTCTTCTCGACGCGCAACACATTCTAACCATTGTAAGATTTTTCTATCTTCGGGTATTACTTTTCATGTACCCTTGTCATTATGTCTCTAGTTGGAATATAAGCATAGAATTTATGCTGAATATGTTTAGGGTTTTCTATGAATTTCATCGTGTCGTCCATGTTGAAACTTATCGAAATCCGGCGAAGGAGACTTGAAAATATGTATTTAATATAAAATCTCGTATAAAATTAATTTATACAGTTCGTCTATTGAAACGCATGCTGTAAATATTATTGTGAAATTGCCATAATATGTCCGTTAATAAAATAAAAACGACATGCGTCGATGGGCCCTGCGTTCTCGTCGGCCCGGTGGTGGTGATGTGGTTGGTAGTCCTTGGTGGGGGTGGTAGTGGTGGTGGTGTGATGTCGGACGCAGCAGCCGGCCGGTTAGACACGACGACCGGTCGTCCTTCACAGTAGTTCACCCGGTCGTATTCGTTCGGCTCTCTCTGTATACAAAGTAGTGTTTTGGTACTATTAGCTACCACTCTGTATATTAGGCTATATGGCGTGTGTTATGATAAAATGTAATACTAACTGTGTGACATAATAATGCACGTATGCTGCTGTAGGTAGGTATGTATACAATAGGTGACCGACACACTGAACGTTTGGGTAGTGGGGAGGGCTATACAACGTGCAGATTATTTTTCGGGAAGTTCTCCGACTTCAGATGATGAAGAGCAGAGGGCGTATAGATCGCCGTCGTGTGTGTTACGTAAATTCTAGAATAATATATATATATTTAATATAATTTGACTGTGATTTACCGTTTCGTGTAAGCTGCGTGGTGAATATAAAAATGCAAAACAGGGGTTAAAGCGTGTGTATTCGGAAATGGGTGTGTGAAGGGGAGGGGTAAGAACGAAGAAGAGAAAAAAACATTCTCAAAATATCCTCGTGGTGGCTTTTTGCTCCCTCTACATCACAGCGACGACCGACATACGTAGGTACCTATACATTATAATATACCACCCACGTTTCCACACACAACTTCGTCATTTTATGAGGTGCGGTGGGGGTTATATATTGTGGCTGAAGAGGGAGCCACTTGGAAATTCCGACGTTGACTTTTACAACCCGAAGTAATTTGAATAGGTCGTTGAACAAAAGCGAACCACCATGGTTGCCGCCGTCAAAGCCATCGTCACACTTTTATATCTTATAGTACACTTGTGCTTGCAATTTAATTCGAGACGACGACTATGTCGAATAAGATATACGAAAGCAATCGAATGTTGCGATTAAACGTGTTGTAACTCGCCGAGACGAGGTTCAATAGGCATACGGTATATTATTCATAATACATGCAGATACTCGCAATCTTAAAACTGCAGTGTAAGTAGGTAGGTACTAGTTTTTAATTTTACCTATTTACCTTCTGTTAGTATTCAAATTTTAAATCCCATGGCGATTACATGATATCTTAGTACAGGATATGTCCAAATATTAATTGACATCATTATTCAGTACGCCTATCAATTCAACATAATATAGTTTATTTTATTAAGATGTGTTTACAAAAAAAAAAAAAAAACGAATTTATTTTTAATACACGATAGCACGATAGCATTATTGATAAATTACGTACCTATGCATACACTACTAAAATATTATATAGTTATATAAATGTAGGTACAAATATACCCACTTTACGTAAGACTAATAAGTTATAATAGTTGTATATTTTTTTAAAATTATTATTGCAGTAATGTGTAAATTAGTTATAGGTAATTTAGTTAAAAATATAGATATTGTAGATTCTGTAATAAATAATAATAAAATTATGAAAATCTGGTATTTTACGACGTTACTTGTAAAAAGGTCAATACCGAGGTCAATACCTAATACATTCGAAATATTATTTTTTAAATTTCCTTTATTAAAAGAACAGAGTAGTCTCCTATAACTACGTATGCGTGTCAGAAGCATCCGGTGAACAAATTTTCATCACCCCCCTTTGCAAGTGGCGTAGCCAGGATTTCTACAAGGGGGGGGGGGAATTAAATATATAACAGAGGTATTCAAACTTTTTCAACACGCGGCTCCTTTAGGTGTTCACAATATTTTTACGGCTCCCAAATTATTATGAAAAAATTGAAACAACACATCACGGATACAATATGGGAAATATGTTATATGGGTGATAATAACAGTGACTTTAGCACTAGAAATTAAACTTCAAATGGTGGGATAGTAAGGTGTGTCGTTTTCATTTCCATAATGATTGCAAATAATAATGTTGGTTTTCGGTGCTTTTATGCGGCTCTCTTTGCAAACTCTCGCGACGCCCCTGGGAGCCGCGACGCACAGTTTGAATACCTCTGATATACAGGGTGATTCGTTTATCAAACAACACTCATTATTTATAAAAGTATTGACTTTTTTCAAAATATTGTTTTACATAGTTTCAAGATGTTAAAAAACCAACGCTTTTATTAAAAAATTATATTTTTAAATATTTTTTATCCTTATCATTTTTTAAGTTTTTTACTTTTTTGAATGGCAACATAGTTTTTTAATTTCATATTCCAAAGCAGAATATTTTTCTAAAAATTTTGATACATAAAAATCGAATTTAGGACTAGTAGTTTATGAGTTATAAGTATTTAAAGTTTAGACAAGCGGAGTAGTGGACAAACATTTTGCGGGGTAACCCCGTACCACTCCACTCTGCCAATCTAAACTTTAAATACCTATAACTCATAAACTACTAGCGCTAAATTCAAAATTTTAACGTAATAATTAATTAAAAAAATAGCTTTATTAAATTATGAAATTTGAAGTATAGGTTACCATTTGAAAATCAAAAGTTGATGGTGGTGTATATAATAAATATAAGGGTGAAAAATATAAAAATAATAAACAATTCAAGAAGAGTGTAAACTACAATTTTGAAAAAAAAAAAAATTGAAAAAAGTCAATACTTTTTTAAATAATGAGTGTTGTTTGATAAAAGAATCACCCTGTATAACATTCAAATAACAGTGTTTTTAATTTTCCAAATAATGATAATGACACGCTTATCAATCCAGGGTTTTTTGATAAACAATAAATATTAGGTACATTTTTTTAAATTTTAACTCCAAACCGGTACATAGGTAGTCAAAATTAATAAATGTACGATTATTTTTTATATATTAAATGATACGGCTCATGGAGGGTCCCTGTGCCCCCTTCCCTGACTACGCCACTTCCCCCACCCCAAAAATAGTAAATTATCTAAAAATATACGTTATTTTTAAAATCGTTTTTATACATGCATCTAACCGAGTATGTTTAAGTAAAACTATTTTTATTAAATATTTATTATATATAAACCATTATAGTATACACATAATATAAAATAAAAAATTATATGTTTTATATACTTTTGGCCCACTTAAGGATTTTTATATTTTATTTATGGCCATTGGATAAAAAAGTTTGAAGAACCCTGTTCTTAACTCTATACATAATTGGAAAGACCTTAAAAATAATAAATTCCTATTCATACAATATTCATATTTTTCGAATTCTACTCCATTTATATTTTTAATCAACCGAATAAATATTAGGTATATTAGGTAGTAAACCTTTAATGATTCACGTTTAATTTCATTATTTCCCTGCAACTTAATATTTATTTAATGTTCTTTTTAATTTATTTAATATAATATATTTATATTATATTTACTAAATAATTGTAAAATATAGAGGACATTAAGATAATATTATGATGCTTACATAAATATTTATTATCAGTGTGTCTCAAACTAAAACTCATAAAAATATATAAATCTGTGCGTGTAATAATT